CTGAACGTTTCATGATGATAGCACTTTCCTAAGGGGGTCAAACCTTGTCCCAAAGATCACCGGATCTGGTGTCAATTTAAAGAAGTAGTCCAGTTACACATTTGTGGGCTTATAACTTGGCTTCTGAATGTCCTAGAGAGATCAGGTTTGTTTTAGTGTACTCCAATCAACAGCCCCTACAACCACAAAAAGGAATGGAGTCATTAGCACTTATGGTTTGTAAATGGCACCCAGAATTATGTTGCACGAAGCACAATTTCACATCATTCTGGGTCCATTTGTGTGAAAACAAGGTCCAATCAGGCTGAAACCTTACAAGAAGGTAGAATCTATTGAGTTGTAAGTGATCTGAACGTTTCAAGATGATCGCACATTCCTATAGGGGGTAAAACCATGTCCCAAAGGTCACCGGGCCTGGTGTCACTTTAAAGAAGTAGTCCAGTTACACCTTTGTGGGCTTATAACTTGGCTTCTGAATGTCCTAGAGAGATCAGGTTTGTTTTAATGTACTCCAATCAACAGCCCCTACAACCACAAAAAGGAATGGAGTCATTAGCACTTATAGTTTGTATGTGGCACCCAGAATTATGTTGCACGAAGCACAATTTCACATCATTCTGGGTCAATTTGTGTGAAAACAAGGTCCAATCCGGCTGAAACGCTACAAGAAGGTAGAATCTATTGAGTTGTAAGTGATCTGAACGTTTCAAGATGATCGCACATTCCTATAGGGGGTCAAACCATGTCCCAAAGGTCACCGGGCCAAGTGTCACTTTAAAGAAGTAGTCCAGTTACACCTTTGTGGGCTTATAACTTGGCTTCTGAATGTCCTAGAGAGGTTAGGTTTGTTTTAGTGTACTCCAATCAACACTCCCTACAACCACAAAAAGGAATGGAGTCATTAGCACTTATGGTTTGTAAATGGCACCCAGAATTATGTTGCACGAAGCACAATTTCACATCATTCTGGGTTCATTTGTGTGAAAACAAGGTCCAATCAGGCTGAAACGTTACTGGAAGCTCGAATCTATTGAGTTGTAAGTGATCTGAACGTTTCATGATGATAGCGCTTTCCTAAGGGGGTCAAACCATGTCCCAAAGGTCACCGGATCTGGTGTAAATTTAAAGAAGTAGTCCAGTTACACATTTGTGGGCTTATAACTTGGCTTCTGAATGTCCTAGAGAGATCAGGTTTGTTTTAGTATACTCCAATCAACAGCCCCTACAACCACAAAAAGGAATGGAGTCATTAGCACTTATGGTTTGTAAATGGCACCCAGAATTATGTTGCACAAAGCACAATTTCACATCATTCTTGGTCCATTTGTGTGAAAACAAGGTCCAATCAGGCTGATACGTTACAAGAAGGTAGAATCTATTGAGTTGTAAGTGATCTGAACGTTTCATGATGATAGCACTTTCCTAAGGGGGTCAAACCATGTCCAAAAGGTCACCGGATCTGGTGTCAATTTAAAGAAGTAGTCCAGTTACACATCTGTGGGCTTATAACTTGGCTTCTGAATGTCCTAGAGAGATCAGGTTTGTTTTAATGTACTCCAATCAACAGCCCCTACAACCACAAAAAGGAATGGAGTCATTAGCATTTATGGTTTGTAAATGGCACCCAGAATTATGTTGCACGAAGCACAATTTCACATCATTCTGGGTTCATTTGTGTGAAAACAAGGTCCAATCAGGCTGAAACGTTACAGGAAGGTAGAATCTATTTAGTTGTAAGTGATCTGAACGTTTCATGATTATAGCGCTTTCCTAAGCGGATCAAACCATGTCCCAAAGGTCACCGGATAATGTGTCAATTTAAAGAAGTAGTCCTGTTACACATTTGTGGGCTTATAACTTGGCTTCTGAATGTCCTAGAGAGATCAGGTTTGTTTTAGTGTACTCCAATCAACAGCCCCTACAACCACAAAAGGAATGGAGTCATTAGCTATGGGCTTAAATAAGGGCCATAATGTTTGTGTAGTTAAAAGAAAAATTTGAAATCGAAAATATGTAAACTGAAAGCAAAAGTCACATTTTTAGAGTGAACTTTGAAAAAGAAAGCCTTGGATTTAAAATAAAATCAAACGTTTGGAATATTTGTAAGAACTGAAACCCCAATGGTATTTTTATTTTGAATTTTTCTGAGTAAACTTTACTAAAAAAAATGTCAGTAATTTATTTTTCAATTATTATTTTTTTTAAATCCAGTCAGTCTCAGATTACATTTTTTCACATTCAGATCTTTTTAATTAATGTACAAAAAATTTCTTTCAGCTTCAGATTTATTTTTTTCACTTTCGGATCTGTATTTTTCAGTTACAGACTTCTGGCCCTGTTTTGGCCTGGTGGGCGTGGCTACACTGAGAGGGGCGGGGAATCATGAGTGACAGCAGGCCGCTAGAGGCTGAAGACGGCCCATTTTTCATGTTACCTTCAGAAAACCTGGGAATAAACAAAATTTATCAAACACCTCCTGCACTGTATTATTTGATAATGGTTGGAGAACATGTCATGCATAACTCATAAACTCAGTTACTAAACCTCTTTCAATCAGTAATGTGTACAAATTACGCCGTGACTGATCAATTATGAGAAGTTTTCCCAACCACTATGTGAGAAGTGGTCATTTCCCATGCTCTCAAAGTAGCGTGCGTGGGTGCTGCTTTGCGCCTCAGTGAACAATGGCGTCGTCTTCCGACAACACTGCTGGCGCGAACAATCAGGTGAGTGTTTAAGTTTGGAAAAGTTACACTGCAGTCTGTGAATACTAAGAATTTACGAAGTGGCTATTGTTACGGTTAAAAGTAAGATTAATTTTTTGGCTATTCTGTTTTTTTATTTAATTTTTTGGTGAAATGCTACAATAACTCAACAGAAACGCCTCGCTATCATTTTCGGCTGAAACTTACTCCGAAAGGTAAAGTAATATTAACAATTTGATCCTTCACCAAAAATATGGAAAACTTTTTAAAAGACTCCATAACTAATCGGGCTTATGCAGTCTTCTTCACCTGCTGCTAAGGCAATGTTGCTAGACTCTCATCCATCCATTATCTTCCGGGCTCCGCTCGCGGGCGCAGCAGCTTCAGTAAATAGACCCAGACTTCCCTCTCCCCAGCCTCTTTGGCCTGCTCCTCAGGAGGAATCCTTGTTTCCTCAAACAGTGTGCTGGTCATTCTCGGTCTTGATGCTTAAATCTAATCAAATTAATCATTTGATTTGTTATTACTCAGTGATGGTACGCCTTTGCTATGCTACAAATTATCACGAGGGAAAAAGGTGGGGAACGTGTTAAATTTTCACGGTTTTTCCTACAATAAACTTATGCGTGTGTTTTAGATAAAAAGCAATAATATTATGATGGTGTAAAGCAAAAAGTAAGATCTTTTTCAGAAGGCCTTTTTCCCCCCAAGTATTAGGCCGCTGAATGATTCCAGTCGAAATGACATAAGTAACTGCAAAATCTTCCCTAAACTATGTGTCATGTTTAAGTAAATACAGTAATAAAGGCACTACTAATGGAGTTAACAATTTCTTACATAACAGAGAGAGAGAGAACTGCAGTGGCAAGAAGTTGTTATTGGTGCTCCAGTCATTATTGGCTGTTTCATATAGATCCAACCTGTATATAATGCAGATTTTTGTTCGTGCTAGCATTATACTCTATCATGCTGATGCATACTTATTTGTGCTTAATTATTGATGCACCGATACCACTTTTTGTAAAACGATTACGAGTACTTGCATTTCAGTACTGGCCGATGCAGATACCGAGTACTTTATAAAAACATGATTTAAATTTACAGGTTACAGTCACATAGTCATATGATTTTACAGAAAACAAGGGACTAGTATGGAATTAAGAACATTTATTTAAAATGAAAACTAAAGCATGTTGTATGCAACATATTATAGAACAAATAATTATTTAGAGAAAAAAAACTTTGTGATTAACCCCTCACACGCCGCTCAAACAGACATTTCTCAAACCATGGCATCGGTTCCCGGTATCGGGGGAGTTTTAACAAGTACGAGTACTTTAGAAAATGTGGTATTGAGGCCGATACCTGATACCGGTATTGGTGCATCCCTACGTTTAACATAGTTCATAATTTCTGTCATGTTTTACCTGTTAATTTTTTTAATATATGTGTTTCTTAGAATGTGAACTACAGTTCTACAGTGGAAGCCGCTGCACAGAATCTTATTACTGTGCTCACTCAGAATCTTTCTCAGGGACAGCACCAGGCAGCACAGGGAGTAAGGCAGGAACAGGGACCTCCCTCTGTAAATCAAGAGATGGCAAGGTTTTAGATTAAATATGAAACTAAATAATTTAAAAAGTTTTTAACCTTTTTTGTGTGTTATCACTGTGCTGTCATTTTCATGTATTTTTCTAATTCCGTTCAGATCTTTCCCTGGTTTCTTTGGGAAAAAAAGTTTTCTTGGAAAACGAAAGATGCATAATCCAAGGATCCCTGTGACACCACCTTTTAAAGCATGGAAACCTTTCAGTTTCTATGTATACTTGCTGAACTGTAATGCAGAAACAACACCTACCTCCTCTGAGGAATTTCAGCTTGCCCAGGCAGGACTGGGTAAAAGACATCTCACAATGACCAGGGACATGAACCATGAAGAGGTTAAATTAATAAATATTTAGATCTTCAGATTTATATATCTCTGTAAAGATCATCAAGTCTGCAGGCATCACAATATTGATCTTTTTCTGCAGTTATTTGGACTTCTTCAAAGTGAATATCCTAAAATGCAGGGTCTGACTGGAGGATGGTTGCTCTACAAGGCTACAGGTAGGGGTAACAAATGTTTATTACATGATAGTCCCATAATGTGCATCTATGTGAACTTGATCTGGGCTCTACTTTTTTCAGGCGGTCAGGGAAAAAGGAAACTGACACTGGTGCCTCCTGATTCTGAAGGTTACACAGGGACCTTAATACGCAGTATGACAGGAAATGGGAAAAACTTGCTGTATATAGTACCTTTACAGCAAGAATTTGACCTTACTCCGTTACCTCCTGATGCAGTTGAATTTAAAAATATGCCCAAAGCACAATGCCAAACATGCAAAGTAAGTCTGCCATTGCACATTTTGGCTCTTCATGTGCAGGAGTGCACAGAGTCTGGATCTTCAGCTGAGGACACAGAGGTACATACATCATAGAACAATATATGCATTTATTTTAATGAAATTGTATTGCATTGAAATGGCAATAAAATAATTGTCCCACTTTTTTTTTATCTTAATCATTAATGTTATATGTCTATTAATTATGATAGGCATGTCAAACCGAGGTCCAAATAGCGTCCGTGCAACCATCTGAAGAGCACACCAACACAGAGAAATTGGATGAAGAAGTAATATCTTAATAGAAATGAGTATAGAACATTATCATAACTACACTGGAACTCTATTCAATATTTTAACTCTCATTTCTGTTGTAGAAGCTTCAGTGTCCTATCTGTAACTTGAAATTTGCTCCTTATTTCCTTGAAATCCATGCAAGCACATGTGGAGAAAGGTAGTTGAAAAAGCAGGGCTTTTTAAATTACATATAGGATATAACATCTTGAGAATTTCACATTGACACACCAACTTTTTCTGTATGTTTATTAGAAGCAAAAATGTAACAGACATGGATGAAATTGAGGAGAACAAAATAGAAGAGGAGCATATGAAAAGGTAAAAAACATCACACACACCAGATTTAATACTCTGAACTCTTAACTGAATAGATTGTTTATTCTTTCATTTATGGATTCTTTTAGTGTTGATGATGTATTGGATGCTATTTGTCAAAGAGTTGATGTGGAGAAGCAGTTCAGCATCCTTATTTCAAGAACAAACATTCTGGAGAGAGGCCTTCTGCAGTGGCAACGTCAAAAAAAAAATTCACCCACTGCCATGTTGAAGGTGTCCTTCTTTGGGGAAGCAGGAATCGACACTGGTGCCCTTCGAAAAGAATTTCTCACAGGTAAATTTAAAAAGATCAATTACTTTTCCATCCATATTATTTATGTTGAAGAAATGACCAATCCCTAAATTTTATACTTCTGTAATATATATTTTATCTTCTAAGTGAACTCTGCTCCAGTTGTGTTGTAAATATGACTCGATTTCTCCTTTACTAAACTATAAATCAATCATGTTTATCATTTGGGATGGACTGATATGAAAGTTCTTGGCCGAAACCAAAAATGAGAAAACCAAGGTCGAAAACCAAAACACCAAAAGGAAAATTGTCAGTTTTTTGAACCATAGAATGGCTGTGATGTGACTATGATGTGTTATGAGCTTATTGGTTTGGTGTTGATAAAAGGTGTCAATATTGTTTTGTCAAGTGCAACCTTCTGTATACTATGATTTCTTTTTTGAATGGAATTCTCTTTTGAATCTTGATAGGTTTAACCTAGACTTTTATTAAATCATAATATGCACCTTTTTTAAATATCTGGAACAGATGTATTATGTTCCTTCAGTACATCTGTCATGTTAAGCCTATGACAGGAAATACAAATTTTAATCAAAACAAGCTTCTCTTGATTTCACATATTTCGGGGCAACATCACATTTAAATTTCACAAACACTGAAATATATCATGATATATATATATTTACATATATACATATACATATATATATATATATATATATATATATATATATATGTATATATATGTATATATATATATATATATATATATATATGTATATATATGTATATATATATATATATATATATATATATATATATATATATATATATATATATATAGCCTCAAATGAAAACAAAATATTGTGATATGAAAAAAATCTTTTCACCCAGCTCTAAATGAATGTTTGACATCGGATAATTCATAAAATTCTTCTCTCAATAGAAATGGTCGCTGGAATCGAGACTCGTTTCTTTGAAGGACCACCACACCAAAAAAGTCCACGCTATTCGCTTACTGACTTTGACAGCGGACTATTCAGGTATGTTTATTTTAATGTAAGGGAAAACTGTCATGCATTATACTAAAAGCAATACACTCATGCTGTTTGTATAAGTAGGACTGTTGGTGAGATTCTGGCCGTCAGTTTGGCACAAGGAGGTCCTGCCCCTACATTTTTCAGCCAGTGGGCTTACAGTTACCTCTGCAATGGGCAGATCAACCCAACACAGCTGGATAAAAATACTGTGGCAGATTCACAGTTGCGGTTACTGATTGACCAGGTGCTGTATAACTACTAAAAATATTGCCTTAGTACACATTGCAGCTTTTACATAAATATAATTTCATCTGTTAAATATAAAATACTTTTTGGTTATTTTGTAAAATTACTTTTAGGTGGAATGTTCAACTGAGCAGTCACTTCAGAGCCTTACTGATGAGATTTTAAACTGTGGATTCACTGGAGCCATCTCGGTTCAAAACAAGGAACCGATTGTCCGGTATGCTGTAACATGTTATGGTTTCTCTATATAAATGTAAGAAAAATAGCATCTGAAGATGTTGTTTAATCTCCTTTTTTGTCCCCACAGAGCCATTACACTCCATGCTGTGCTTAGACTGCAGCCAATGTTGGAACAACTCAAGGAGGGTTTGCAGCTGTATGGCCTCCACCTGCTGATTAAGCAGTACCCAGAAATATGCCAGCCTCTCTTCGTCCTTGGGGGAGATGTGAAAGTGAGTTCAAACGTATTTTCACAGTTTTACATAAAGGTATTACATACATTTACACATTTTGTTACATTACAGACACAAACATGAATCTATTTTATTGGAATTCCGCATGAAACACCTACACAAAGTGGTGTACATTATAGAAGTGGATCAAAAATCATACATGATTCCAAACATGTTTTACAAATACCGTAAATCCTCTAATACAGGCCCGGGCCTGTATTTGACTCAAGCTCATCAAGCTCCAGGCCTTTATTGGAAGGAGGGGCAGAATTAGAGGCAGGCCTCAATTTCTATTTGAGAAAAATGAACTAATAGTTCGCTGGAGTTTTTGACAATTAAAATTGCGCCCACATTTTCAAAGTTAAACACATTTCTTTTAACAACGGTAGTTTCTGCTTCAGCCATCTCCCCCCTCCCCCTGCTTCAGCCCTCTCCCCCCTCCCCCCGCGCAGCGGCCGCAAACTCACTGATGCGCCTGCAGCCTCTCGGAGTTCCTGCTGCTCTAAACATTAAAATAATTATTTCATTTTCTGTTCCTCACTTCTGATTACCTTCAATGGTGTCTGTTTGTTGCAACCAGCAGGTACAAAAACTAACTTGTTTTTATTTGACTATTTTTCTGTCCTGTCTGTTTATTATCTTCCTGCATCTCCTCTCAATCCTAAAGAGAAACTGCTACCTGGGTTCATACATATTCACCTCTTGAGTTACCTTGGAACTGCAGCTCTAAAAGATCTACCGACCGCAAAAACAGCGGAGCGCTCACTGTTTGGCGGCCGTATCAGTGATCGGTGCGTCGGAGGACAAGGTGAAGCGCCCCACTCCACAGCAGCGATACACATCAGGCGCAAATAAAAAACAGAAAACATTAAAGGAAATGAACCAACATGAACGATCGCGTGTCAGTACCTACGGTCTGGCACAGCGTGTTGCCCCCACCCCCCACCCCCGAGCGCAGGAGCTTGTCACCTGCTGACAGCAGGCTGCTGTCTTTTCCGAGGGCTGCATCTTGCCGGTCATTATCACGTGACAGCGACTAGTCGACGACAGGCATAAAAAGTCACTATAGTGAAGTTGACTAGTTCATACAACCCCTACTGCTGCTCTCCAGAGTGTTCTGCAGCATAATCAGCACGTTCTCTTTGAACTTGATAGTGTAATGACCTGGCTGGGGTTGTAAGCCAGGTGCATTCTGGGTACTGTGTTATATGTGTTTCCTATCGTTCTGCTAGTTCCTATGTGCTGATTTGCGTGTTGTGTGAGTGTTATGTAAGCCACAGGGAAGGTGATGTGTGTTCTGTGGAGCGGGTTGAATTAGCATGGTTAACTGACACCGTGACTCTGTGTGGTAGGAGCGTGATAGAGGATCGTGCCTGTAGCGTTACAAAGCGTTGAAGAAAAAGCCTCATAAAGGTCTGCGTGAACCTCTACTGCCTCCTGCTGGTTGATTTGGGGATTATATCCCTGCCGCTGAGACGCTCATACTTGCTTGTTACCACATTCCACCCGGCCACAATAAGAGACCGGCCATTATTCACCTCCGCTGACTCCGACACCGGCCAAAATTACCGGCTTTTAATTAAATACCGGCCTGTATTGGAGGATTTATGGTAACTGAAAAGTGGGGCGTGTGTAATTATTCAACCCCGTTTGGCCTCAGTGTAGTCAGTTGCCCATAGACATTTCCTGATGATTGCTAAACATACAGTAAAGCCAGGGCAACAATAGAAAAACAAAACATATCCATGTGTTAGAACGGTCCAGTCAAAGTCCAGAGCTAAATCCAATCCAGAATCTGTGGCAAGATCTGAAAACTGCTGTTCACAAACGCTGTCTATCTAATCTGACTGAGCTGGAGCTGTTTGGCAAAGGAGAATTAGCAAGAATGTCAGTCTGTAGACGTGCAAAGCTGGTAGAAAAATGCCCTTAAAGACTGGGAGCTGTAATTGCAGCAAAAGGTGTTACTAAGAAGTATTGACTGAGGGGGCTGAATAATTACACGCAGCACACTTTTCAGTTATTTATTTGTAAAAAATGTTTGAAATCATGGATGCATTTCCTTACAATTCTCAATTGTTCACCACTTTGTATTGGTCTTTTATGTTGAATTCCAATAAAATAGATTCATGTTTGTGGCTGTAATGTGACAAAATGTGGAAAAGTTCTAGGGGGCCGAATAATTTTGCAAGCCACTATGTGTGTGTGTGTACATTATATATATATATATATATATATATATATATATATATATATATATATATATATATATATATAGTACACACACACACATATATATATGTATGTGTGTGTGTGTGTGTACTATATATATATATATATGTGTGTGTGTGTGTGTGTACAATATATATATATATATATATATATATATATATATATATATACATATATATATTGTACACACACACACACACACACACATATATATATGTGTGTGTGTGTACTATATATATATATATATATATATATATATATATATATATATATATATATAATGTACACACACACACATACATATATATATATATATATATATATATATATATATATATATATATATATAGTACACACACACACATATATATATGTGTGTGTGTGTGTGTGTGTACAATATATATATGTATATATATATATATATATATATATATATATATATATATATTGTACACACACACACACACACACATATATATATATATATATATATATATATATATACATATATATATTGTACACACACACACACATATATATATATATATATATATGTATGTGTGTGTGTGTGTGTACTATATATATATATATATATATATATATGTGTGTGTGTGTGTGTGTGTGTACAATATATATATATATATATATATATGTATGTGTATGTGTGTGTGTGTGTGTGTGTGTACATTATATATATATGTATATATATATATATATATATATATATATATATATATATATATATATATATATATATGTGTGTGTGTGTGTGTGTGTGTGTCAATACAGTATCTTTTTGCAACCCTGAAGAAATCAAGCCGTTGGCTTGCTTTGCTTTCTATTATCATCATAGGTTAATGCTGAGTTTGTCATGGCGTCCATTCACCCTCAGCTGAGTGAGAAGGGAACCTCCAAGCATCAGGTTGAGCTGGACCTGGTTAACTTCATTCAGGACTTGCTTTATGAATCAGAAGGTAAATTGTTATTTTTGTCTAGTTTACAGTTGTCAAATTTCAAAATTATATTCTAAGGATTTTGTGACAAAAGTTACACTTCTCTCGAATTCAAATATTTAGATATTTTTTCTCCAAAGGGCAAGGGTGCTTCAAAACGTCTTAAAATTTACTCTTATCTTAACAGAAGGTCCAGAACATCTAGCTGATGAAGATGGCCCAAGATCTATCACACCTGCCAGGTTTCTGCAATGGATCACCGGTCAAGGCCACGTTCCTCTCCTCCCCTCAGAAAAGAAGGACTTTGCTGTGGTGGTCAAATTTAATCACAACTGTGAAGCTGACTGGAAATCACAGCATCTGCTATCCTGTTGTGTCATCCTGTGCTAAGACCATTGTCCTGCCTGTGAAACACATGAAGACCTATAGTCAATTCAGAATGGTTCTGCTGGAGGCTTTTCATCTTGGCCAGGAATTTAACAATGTGTAAAGCAATAGTGTTGAAGTGTAAATCAAAATGCTGCTCCTTCTATTTAATGTTCAGGAAGCACATTTCAAAGTTGGAGATTGACAGCCAGAGTTCTTTAATGAGTTGCATGAAGCACACCAAAAACGTACAGTTTTACAGTTGAAAAATATGCCAGAGGGAAAAAAATAGTTTGTAATGTGATGTTTGAGTGTTCACATAAAAATATCCTCGCAGGTTCATTTTACATAAAATAAAAGTCTGAGCAATTCATGAACCTTCTCTGGGTTGAAAAGTCAAAATAAAAATGGTTCCATCTAGGAACAGTGAGTTAGTACAAAGTTAAGTACATCCAAATAAATGTCTCGACCATGTGACTGAGAGGGCCTTGTTACATTGATAGTGTCTCTTAGTCTTGCCATGTCCTCCTCAGATAGAGGACATTCAACAGATGGAAGAATCACTCCAGGATTGCTACTATCCAGCTCACCAATAGAGTTGACATCCAAGTACGCATCCTCGATTTCCTGTGATGATTTAAAAAAAATCTGATATTTCAAATGACAATCCAAAAACAAGTGTTGGGAAATTCAAGACAAACAGCTCCATAAATATTGGAACATGGCAATTCTATTTTTGGCTCTTTACAACAACACAATGGATTTGAAAGGAAACTACACGATTGGCTATAACTGCAGAGGTATTTGAACTGTTTTCATATGTGCCTTCCACTTAAGGGACCAAAAGTAATGGGACAATTGGCTTCTCTGATGTTCCATGGCCAGGGATGTGATGTTCTTGTATTTAGTTAAGCAACTCCTGACAAAAACAGCAGGATAAATTTTGAAGTGTTTTGGGCAATATATCTTCTCATATTCAGCCAAATGCTTCAAAACTCATTAAGCAGCACTTGACGGTTCAGATGGACAATCACTCAAAGCATTCTGCAGAAGAAACCAAATAGTTCTTAAAGGACAGAAGTGGAGTGTTATGCAGTGGCCAAGTCAATCACTTGACCTGAATCTGACTGAGCAGCATTTCATTGCTGAAGACAAAACTGAAGGGGAAATGCCTCAATAATAGCTGGAATTTAAGACTGTTGCAGTAAGAGGCCTGACAGAGCATCAGCAGGGATGAAGCCCAACATCTGCTGATGTCTCTGCGTTCCAGTTTCAGTAATGATTAATGTTCTGTCTCGTTACTTTTGGTAACTTAACAAGTGGGGGGCACACATGCAGACTGTTGTAACGCCTACAACTTTTAACTGATTTGGATGCAAATACCCTCAACTTAAAGCTGACAGTCTGCAGTGATAGCACATCGTGTTTGTTTCAACATCTCCAAGTGCACTTTTTGAAACATGATTAAAGAGTGGTTGTATAATTTAGATTTGTTTTAGTACCTCCACTGTGTCTGGAGCATCAACTGGATTCTGGTGGAGTCCCAGTGTCCACAGTTGTTGTGGGGACAGATTGCTCTCTGTCCTTAGAGGGTGGTTATCCCAACCCTGTCTAAAGACATCCAGATCCCTCTGCAGACGTGGAAGAAATGTATGTTGGGCACAAAACATGTGGACACTATCAGATGGATCCAGAAGGCCTTCATCCTCGAGGTTGTGAAGGGTTTCATAGTGCACGCTTGAAACAGCCATCCACACATCTCGCCACAAGCGCTCTATTCTGTTCAACATGAAAATATGCCAACGTTTTCAAAATTGTACACAAAAATTCACTGAATTGAAAAATATATATGAAATTTTTTCTTATTATTTCCATGGGACATTTATAAAAATACTACACATACCTTTGGTTGTGAACACTCTTGCCTGACAGAAAACTTCCTCTTCCACAGCCCCGGATAGTGAACATGCATCTTGCTATTCCAACATTTTCCACCCCTTGATCCCCTCGAACTCTGAAACAAAATTAAACATTGACAGTACAATTTTTTGAAATCTAAAAAAAAATGTCACTCTTAAAATTTATTGCAGCCTTTGTGTTTTTAATATAATTTTACTTTAGACTGGTTATTAGAAGTTTATTGTTTTGGTTTTTCAACAGTGTGAAGCTCTGTATGAAACACACCTTTCAAGAATTCTAAATGTCTGAACCATTTAAACAAGAGTATGGGGATTTCTAAACAATTGATCATGTATAGGTTACATATTGCATGCCAAAATAATTACACTGCTAATCAAGGGAAAAATCATATTTACAGATCAGTACAATCATTGTGAAAATTAATTTTGTGTAGATTTTACCTCAATGGAAAGCCATACTTTTGTACAGCCTCCAAGAAGAAAGCAAGTGCAGTTGTTGCTCTGTTGTTAGCAGCAGCACCCAGGTACATGATCTAGAGATGTAAATTTCATTAAGTGGAAACTTTGTCAAGTCAAGTTACTATACAAGTGCTGGCCAGTAAATTAGAATATCATCAAAAGGTTGAAAATATTTCAGTAATTCCATTCAAAACGTGAAACTTGTACATTATATTCATGCAATGCACACAGACCAATGTATTTCCGATGTTTATTACGTTTAATTTTGATATTTATAGGTGACAACCAATGAAAACATCAAATCTGGTATCTCAGAAAATTAGAATATTCTAAAGGCCAATGAAAAAATGTTTGTTTCTCTAATGTTGGCCAACTGAAAAGAATGAACATGAAAAGAATGTGCATGTATAGCACTCAATACTTAGTCGGGGCTCCTTTTGCCTCAATAACTGCAGTAATGCGGCGTGGCATGGACTCGATCAGTCTGTGGCACTGCTCAGGTGTTATGAGAGCCCAGGTTGCTCTGATAGTCGTCTTCAGCTCCTCTGCATTGTTGGGTCTAGCGTATTGCATCCTCCGCTTCACAATACCCCATAGATTTTCTATGGGGTTAAGGTCAGGCGAGTTTGCTGGCCAATCAAGGACAGGAATACCATGGTCCTTGAACCAGGTGCTGGTGGTTTTGGCACTGTGTGCAGGTGCCAAGTCCTGTTGAAAGGTGAAGTCTGCATCCCCATAAAGTTGGTCAGCAGCAGGAAGCATGAAGTGCTCTAAAACTTCCTGGTAGACGGCTGCATTGACCCTGGACCTCAGGAAACAGAGTGGGCCAACACCGGCAGATGACATGGCACCCCACACCATCACTGACGGTGGAAACTTTACACTGGACCTCATGCAACGTGGATTCTGTGCTTCTCCGCTCTTCCTCCAGACTCTGGGTCCTTGATTTCCAAAGGAAATGCAGAACTTGCTTTCATCAGAAAACATAACTTTGGACCACTCAGCATCAGTCCAGTCCTTTTTGTCCTTGGCCCAGGCGAGACGCTTCTTGCGCTGTTTCTTGTTCAAGAGTGGCTTGACACACGGAATGCGACACCTGAATCCCATGTCTTTCATGAGTCTCCTCGTGGTGGTTCTTGAAGCGCTGACTCCAGCTGCAGTCCACTCTTTGTGGATCTCCCCCACATTTTTGAATGGGTTTGTCGTCACAATTCTCTGCAGGGTGCGGTTATCCCTAGAGCTTGTACACTTTTTTCTACCACATTTTTTCCGTCCCTTCGCCTGTCTGTTAATGTGCTTGGACACAGAGCTCTGCGAACAGCCAGCTTCTTTAGCAATCACCTTTTGTGTCTTGCCCTCCTTGTGCAAGGTGTCAATGATTGTCTTTTGGACAGCTGTTAAGTCAGAAGTCTTCCCCATGATTGTGGTGCCTTCAAAACAAGACTGAGGGACCTTTTAAAGGCCTTTGCAGGTGTTTTGAGTAAATCAGCTGATTAGAGTGGCAGCAGGTGTCTTCTATATTCAGCCTTTTCAGAATATTCTAATTTTTTGAGATACCAAATTTGGAGTTTTCATTAGTTGTCACTTATGAATATCAAATTTAAATGTAATGAACATTGGAAATACATTGGTCTGTGTGCATTGCATGAATATAATGTACAAGTTTCACGTTTTGAATGGAATTACTGAAATATTTTCAACCTTTTGATGATATTCTAATTTACTGGCCAGCACTTGTAATTAAAGATAGAAACATGTTTATCAGGTTTTGTAGCTTGGTACATTTATCTTACATTTATAAGGACAAGAAAAAAAGCATGCTACATAATTCCCAAGGTAGCAAGCTGCCTTGAGATGAAGCAGTAGTTGTAATCAACCATTCACCCAAATGCAAAGGGTAAAAAAAATCTATTTAGCAACTTGAAGAATTACTTTATCAAGCATTTATAGTCACCAAATACTGACAAACCTAAACATATTAGGACAATTTTGTTATACAGAAGGATCTCTATATTACAGTATATGGTAAGTTTTATGGTAGACCAAAACACCAGTATTTCACATTTCAATTAACATCTCATTCAGCTCAATTTTGAAAGAGAAAAATAACCTTTCTTGAGTACCCATCTATCCCTCCGAATATCACCAGGCCAAATCTGTAAGAAGAACAACAAAAAACAACAACTAGGGTATTAACATGTATAAAACATAATATAATTCAGTATTTAGCAGTATTGTCAGACATTATTAGATCATAAACCAGCATCATCCTACCTTATTAGTTTATGATTTGTGTCTATATGCATCAAGTAAAGAGGACCTTGCACTGAATATGTCCTTCGGGCCACAAATCCCAGCCTTGTCATTCTTGAGAAAATACCAGCAGAGTCCACACGGTGCATCGACGAGTACACTCTCTTCCACTGTACATGGTGGCCCATGGCTTGAAGCAACCCTTTCATCATCCTGTATCCAACATGAGGTGTTCTTGTCTTTATAGATCTTACTAAATTGTCCAGCTCTTCATCACTTGTTCTACTGTAGCACTGCTTTATGGAAATGCCATATTCATGCATACGACGTTTCACTGTCCTCACAGATATTCCAAGAAGTTTTGCAATTTGGGGTATTGATAAGAACATTTCTGTCAG